TTAACTAGTTATACATGATTTTAGCATGTTGCATCGTTGTACACACATTCAAACATTTTGCTTCAACTTCTTCTTCATTGAGAATTCTTCATTTAAGCTTCAACATGCATTCTAGAGCCGAGATTTAGTCGTCAGTTGGATTTTAGAAGTGTTCTTTGATTCATAAACGATACAGAGCTGAGTGCATTGCAATCTAAATGGATTCGGGTTAAATCGGTGTGAGAATTTACTTTGAAGAATTTATTCTGACATATGCACATTTTCCTGCTTTCTACTAGTTACCATTTGATTTTAAAGGAACAGTGGAATTTCGGTTCACGTTGAATTTATAATGAACATATGTGGGTTTGATCATGATCGTCAGTCGAGTTGATTCAGGTTACAGAGTTAGATTATTCGAGATGCAATTTGAATTTTAAATGCGGAGGACAGTTTGTTTTGCCGTTTAGTTGGATTTCTCTGCTTATCCGTTCAAGGCCGTATTCACCAATTTTATTAATGAGTACGATTTAATTTGCAAAGGGAGTTGTTTGAACTCAGGAGTTGCGTCGGATAAAATTTAATTCTAAGTTGTGCAAGGTTGTTTAACTGTCAAATTCGGAGGTTGGAACGTCCAGGTCTATTTGGATGAGTTTAATCAAATTGAATTTATTTGGACAAACTTAATTAGATGAACTTGGTCGGATGAATTTAATTAGATGAATTTATTTGGATGAACTTAATCAAATGAATTTAGTCGGAGAATAGAAATTCATTTTATTAAAAAAGTGGATTTATTTATTCAAGTTCTATACAATTGGTATTACAATATGCTCAGAAATGCAAATTTACAAATCAATCCCTGAGATCCTAAAGTGTCATAAAAATTCCTAATTATTTTTCTAAGAGCTCTTCACGTCCGAATCTTCAATCTTCGATCTTCGAACCTGCAAAACAAACAATGCTAGAAAAATATTCAGTGGAGGTTAGAATTAATTTATCAAAAGCGGTTTTTCGGTTATATCAACGCCCTTAGCAAGTTATCATCATCGGGCGTGTCGGGAGGGCAACAACGACAAGGTCGCCGCCAGCTCCCGCTTTCCATTTCCAACCCCGACACGACCCGACAATATCTGTTCAAGTTTGTTTCCGATAGAGAGAAAAAGTGCTTTTGGAAAAAAGTGATTATTTAAAAAAATGGGTTTTTCGTCCAGCCAAAAAGTCTAACGATCCAAAACAATATGGATATCCAAACAAGTCATAAGAATCCAACGGTCAAAAATCTAAATATCCATTAGAAGGAAAAATCCATATCCAGTATGAACAAACAAGTTCGCCAACCTTTATGCTCAAAAACAGGAATCAAAACATAATCCTCAAATAATAACAAGAAATCTGAGAATTCATCTGGGTCAACACAACCAAAACAAAATCATCGCAAAATAACAACAAATCCGCCAGTTCCTCCGCCCCAAAACTAAAAACAACAACAAATCAACCATAAAAAACCTGAAGGATCCAGGCCCAGAAAAATCAATAGAACAACCATAATATAAAATATCATTTGTTCATCAGAAAAAAGGGATCAGTGGAGCGAACATCAGCGAAACCAAGAAGGAGATTTTGGAAACCCAAAAAAACTCAACATCAAACAATCACCCACGAGTTCATCAGAGGAGTTTTTGGAAGAACCCAGCAACCAACACAGAAGAGGAAATGGGTTTTGGCAAACCCTAAAATCTGCTTCAACCATTTGACTCTTTACCCTTTTTATTTTGCATTGTTCTTTTTTTTTTTTTTTTATAATTTATTTTATTAGTTTAATTAATTTATTAAAATTCTGTTCAATAATATAAAAATATTTTCTAAAATTTAATCTCAAGAAATTAAAACTTAATTTTAAAAACATTTTCTAAAACTTAAATTAAAACCATTTTTTAAAACTTAATTTAAACTTAATTTAAAATTTAAATTTTATAATTTAAAATTAATATTTTTGGATCAATCTAATAATTCTTTAATTATTAAGGTATTGAATTAACCTTTTTCCTCTTTTCTAATTAAAATTCTAATTTTCAACACTAAAAGTAAATTACAAATCTATTTCTTAAAAATTCCAAAATATTAAAGATTAACTTTTAAAATTAAAACTCTTTTTATAAATCAAAGTTCTAAAACAATTATTACCATTTTCTAAAAATAAAAAAACAATTAATTAAAACTTTTTCTTAAAAACGTGTTTAACCGAATTTTCAAGCATTTCACTGTCGGTTTCAAATTGAACCGTCGCCTAATTGCGGATGTGACCTCTTTACCTTGCTCCGTTTATTTTTGTCCAATCTTTATGCCGTTCCTTTCGTATCTCTCGTTCGTACAGTTACTAATTTCATATTCTTTCCGTATTTCATTTTCATGGTTGTAATTTATGCGAGGATATCGCCGCTTTTCAATTACGTTATTATTCTTACATGCTTTCGGTATTTCAATATTGTCACTTGTTTAATTTTTCATTATGTTTATTTACCGTAATTCTCCTCCGAAGGAAAGGTCTAGCCATTTGACCGCCGTGTCAATACTCCTTAACCCTTGCCTCTTCCACCTTTCAAACCGTAAGACGTTAAGTCGCCGTACTCATGCTTAGGTGTCCCGCCGTGGACAATTTTACCCTTTACCATAGCATTAGGATAAGGAGTCGCCACACTCCATATTAGGTTTCCCGCCGTGGAATACCTAACTTACCCTTTTCAATGCAACTTTACAACATAGAGATATGATTCGCCGCACTCCATGCAAGCGCTTCCTTAAGAACGTTTGCATCCCCTTGAAACCTTGACCACAGTCAAGAAGTTTCAATTCCTCCCTTTTGAGGGGAACTACGATTACTCTGATTTCATCCCCTACCTCGGATACATAGGCACAAGATGTGAGTCTTGGCGAGTAAACTTAGGACTAACCCTTAGGTCTTTTTCTTTAACTTCTAACCCTTAGCATATACCCTTAAGCAGATAATTATAGCAAAATAGCAACATTAAAACAAGAGGTTCCTGTAGAGTACTACAGAAGTTTAGAGTGCTAATACCTTCCCTAAGCTTAACCAACCCCCGAACCCTAGATCTTTCTCCACATTGTGTTTACGATGCAAAATAGGTTTTTCCTTTCTTTAACCTTTCCTTCGGATAAATCAAAGACCGGTTGTGAACTAAAGATTTGTGATTCAAATTAATTAATAATTTGATATCCTATTCTCACAACAACAATTGCTTATGGGTCAAGTGGATGCATATGTACTTCATAAAAAGTAGTGATGTTTTGACAATGGAGGTGGCTCAGAGTTCCTCCTGGATTTTGAAAGGTATCATGAAGACCTGGCATATAATTCCTAGAGTGCAAAGACACTGGAACCACAATTTAAGAGAAGGAAAGTTCAGAATGGGAGTTATGTGCAAAGGTATTCAGAACCAGGAACCAAATGTCAACAGGTATGCTATTTTAGCTAGGAACAGGGCCAGACCTAGGGCTGTTTTCTGTTTATGGATTGTTTACCATCGAAAATTAGCCACTAAGGAGAGGCTTGCCAATTGAGATATGATATCAGACAGAACTTGCTGCTTCTGTCAGACCAATGAGAACATTGACCCCCTGCTTTTTGATTGTGTTATGATGCAAGAGATTTGGTCTAGTGTCCTGCATTGGCTTCAAGTTAGTCATAAGCTGAGTCATTGGGAGGAGGAAATGAATTGAATTAGCAAGTACTAGGGCAAAGGCAAAAGTGTTGGTGTGATAAAAATTGCTATTGCTGAATCTGTCTATCATTGCTGGAATTATAGGAGCAACATTTGCTTTAATAGGAGCCAAAAACATAGATAAAATAGAAGTTGTAAATAACATTATAGAGTTTATTATTCAAAGGGGTTGGTACAATCAAAAATATAGGAAATACATAGCTTTGCTTATGATGTAATTTTCTTTTGGGGATGGTGGTTTGCTTTTGAGCACCCTTGTATTCCTTGGTTTTGAATTAATGCATTCTTCTTATTGATTAAAAAATCATATATGTTTCACATTTGCAATAATTCATATTTTTATAGTTAACTACATAATTCATTCTTGCATAAATAATTGTATAATACATGAGAGTTCTCATTTAAACATATTATAACTCCTTCCCACAATAATCTTTGGCAGTTTCAATTCACATCCTTCTTCGATTTTGTAGAAAGAGATGTTAAAATCAAAATCGGATGCAAAATAATATGTCATGCTACATGTTAATTTAACTTAAAATCAAAATTAAGAAAAATGACATCTTAAAATTTCTTGTTTGCGCACGAAAAAAAGACAAACATGAGATTGCATTTAAAATCAAAACATAATAAGACAGCTAATTTATATTTTGTCGCATGTGGGCTTTTAAAAAAAACGGACAAATAGATACGGAAGTGTCCGTTTAGACGCCAGTGAGTGTGTGTGTATATATATATATATATATATATATATATATATATATATATATATATATATATATATATATATATATATATATATATATATATATATATATATATATATATATATATATATATATATATATATATATATATATATATATATATATATATATATATATATATATATATATATATATATATATATATATATATATATATATATATATATATATATATATATATATATCACATCACATCACATTCTTTTGACAATCTTTGGCACAAGACTCTTAGGTGAACAAATTTTGTGAGAAATCATATTTGGAAGTGTTTGATGAATTTTCTAACCAAATTAACAACTGTAAGTTCGCATTAGAACTGAACAACAGTGAATCAATCCATACTTTTTGGGAGGGTTATTTTGGTCCTGAAAAATTGATTCCAACTTCCACACCAACTATATCCTGCTTATTTATATATAGACAGATATTCTAAAATGTTCATCATTTTTATAGTCCAGATCCAATTGTCACTTACTTTATCATTTATTTCATTGTTGGATCATTTTCTATCATGAAAACCTTTACTACAAATCCATTGCTCTCAATTATGCACATTTTCATGCTTAGCTTGTTAAGTTTTATGGCTACAATTGAAGCTTCCAAGAGTAAAGTCTCTGCCATTTATGTGTTTGGAGATTCCACAGTAGACCCAGGAAACAACAACTTTATAAACACACCTTTCAAGAGTGATTTTCCACCTTATGGTAGAGATTTTCCTAAGCAAAGTCCCACAGGAAGGTTCACTAATGGAAAACTTGGCACTGATTTTATTGGTATATCATTTTTACAACTGTTTTTGAGAGATTTTGAACTCGGTTTCTTGTATTATTGATTGATGTTTTGGATTGTACAGCTTCTTATTTAGGTTTGAAAGAGTTGGTGCCACCATATTTGGATCCAAATCTGAGTCATGAAGATCTTATGACAGGAGTTAGTTTTGCTTCTGCTGGGTCTGGTTTTGACCCACTCACACCAACTCTCACTGTACTACACTCTCTATGACTCAGTCTTACACCATTTTTTTGTTTCTTGAGGTTTTAATATTTGTGTCTTACTTACAAAATAATTGCAGAATGTTGTCCCAATATCAAAGCAACTAGAATATTTCAAACAATACAAAAATCGGTTGGAGAGTAAGCTTGGTAAGCAAGAAACTGAAAATCACATGAACACCGCTATATTTATCATAAGCGCGGGCACAAATGATTTCGTTGTTAATTATTTTATGATGCCAATAAGAAGAAGAAGCTTTAGCGTCGCAGCTTATGGTAATTTCTTGCTTCATCATGTCAAAGATTTCATGCAGGTAACTAACTCGCTTCGAATTTAAAACATATATGATATTTATGGTTAATTTGATTGAACTAACATAAGTTATATATGTATAATTTAGAATTTGTTGACAGAAGGTGCTAGAAAAATTGGTTTTGTTGGATTACCTCCATTGGGATGTTTGCCAATCATGATCACATTAAATTCCAACAATGCATTTCTTGAACGGAATTGTGTGGACAAATATTCATCTGTGGCAAGAGATTATAACATGGTGCTTCAACATGAATTGTTCTTAATGCAACTTAATTCTACTAAGATCTCTTACATTGACATATATAAACCCTTAGCTAACATGATTCAAGAACATGAAAATCTTGGTAATTTAGTTTTTTTAGTATATATATTATACAGTATTAATTAGCTCATAATTACATGATTAGTTATGCTGATTAACTTGTTTGTATGTTATTGTGGTAGGTTTTGATGAGGTTGATAGAGGCTGTTGTGGAAGTGGTTTCATTGAGGCAACATTTATGTGTAATCATAATTCACATGTATGTTTTGATCCATCAAAATATGTGTTTTGGGATTCAATACACCCTACAGAGAAGGTATACCATGATCTATTTGCTGCAAACCGTCACATCCTTGATGGGCTTATCAACGGATAGGATTCATAGTTATGGTCACTTACACATTATGTTACATTCTTGTCTAACCAAGAGGAGGGTCATCAAAACCATGCTTTTATCTCAAAACCTGAAGTTCTAACCTTAGCAAGAAATTAAGTGAACATTGATTATAATTTCTGAATGTGTAGGCTTGTTAGTTACTTAGTTATTGTCTCTTTGTTCATTTTTGCATGTAATATTTTATATTTTTTATCTATGAATAAAAAAATTATTTTAAACATTATTATTTTATATTTTTCTATAATTAAAAGAATCACAAAGTTGTTACAAATAAATTTTTAGAATGAGAAGTTTCAAGAGAACACCCGATCAATATCGTAAAATAATCAACTCTTGAAAAGAAAAAAAAAAGTAAAAAGAGTGCATAAATCAAATCTAAACTGCCAAAAAGCTGAAAAGCCAACAAAGCTACCGCTAAGATTTGAAGATCGAAACTCGTCAACACTAAAAGAAAAAAAAATTAAATTACACAAACAAAACAACCTCCAACCAAAAAAAATAACTTGATTTTTGAAGAGCAATCCGCGAGCTTATATAAGTTAAGAAAAAGAATATGATGTTAAAAATTATGGTTGTGTCTAATTCAACCTAACAAAATTGACTTGTTATAAGGACATATTCAAACCATATATTATCTGACGTGAGACTCTTAACACACTCTCTTACACCTAGGACTAGACATCTGGAACGTGAAAATAAATGGTTGGTGGCATGATAGCGGAAACTTAATAGTAGGTGGCCCACCAGGTCTTAAACGAGACTCTTGATACCTTGTTAAGAAATGTGGTTAGGCATAACTCATCCCTATAAAGCCGACTTGTAGGATGTGGATTCCCCCACTTATAAATACATGTTCAGGTCAAATATAGGACTCTTAACACACCCTTCACGGCCAAGGCTAAACATCTGAAACGTGAAAATAAATGGTGTGTGTCTAATGAGTTAGGGTTATAGTGTTACAATATATATATATATATATATATATATATATATATATGTGTGTGTGTGTGTGTGTGTGTGTGTGTGTGTGTGTGTGTGTGTGTGTGTGTGTGTGTGTGTGTGTGTGTGTGTGTGTGTGTGTGTGTGTGTGTGTGTGTGTGTGTGTGTGTGTGTGTGTGTGTGTGTGTGTGTGTGTGTGTGTGTGTGTGTGTGTGTGTGTGTGTGTGTGTGTGTGTGTGTGTGTGTGTGTGTGTGTGTGTGTGTGTGTGTGTGTGTGTGTGTGTGTGTGTGTGTGTGTGTGTGTGTGTGTGTGTGTGTGTGTGTGTGTGTGTGTGTGTGTGTGTGTGTGTGTGTGTGTGTGTGTGTGTGTGTGTGTGTGTGTGTGTGTGTGTGTGTGTGTGTGTGTGTGTGTGTGTGTGTGTGTGTGTGTGTGTGTGTGTGTGTGTGTGTGTGTGTGTGTGTGTGTGTGTGTGTGTGTGTGTGTGTGTGTGTGTGTGTGTGTGTGTGTGTGTGTGTGTGTGTGTGTGTGTGTGTGTGTGTGTGTGTTGTGTTTACAATAATACTTGTAAAGGCCGCACACCGTCCATTACCTATCCATAATAATCTCCATAGTATAACTCATACTGAAATATACCCATAATAATCTCCAAAATATGAGTCATGATCAACAATACACATAATAATATCCACAACACAAGTCATACTAAGCAATATCCATAATAATCTCCACATTATTGAACATCAAACTCGTATGAAGATTTCTGGCAAGACAACCAGATTCTGATAATTAGGAAGGTACACCTTTTACTTAACACTGAGAAACATGTAACAAGTCTAAGAAATGTCTGAGCTTACCACTGATGACTGGGTTGGTTGACATATCAATTGTATTATCTGAAATATGAACCTTTTCATGTAATATCTATCTAGATGCAAACATCAAACCCCTATGAGTAATTCTAGCAAGACAATCATATTCTGATAACTAGGAAGCTACACCTCTTGCTTAATACTGGTAAATATCTAACAAGTCCAAGTAATGTCTGAACTTTCCACTGAATACTGAGTTGATCGACATATCAGTTGTATTATTTGAAATATGAATCTTTTCAAGTAATATTTGTCTAGATGCAAGTAACTCTCTAATCTTGTGAAAACTCACATTAATATTCTTAGTCTTGACATAATACACCTGATTGTTTTCCAAATAAAGGACATTATAACTATCACAATGCAACCGAACTCCATCTTGTACGTCATAAGGCTTATTTGGGAGCTTCACATACTGCCATGTATTTTCTCTAGATATTGATATGGACACTATGGATTGAACCAATAATTTCCAAAAAATATGTCCTCTTACTAAAGTAAATACTTACCATGTTGTAGACCTCCCCTAATCTATATCACCAACATAGTCTGAATCAACATATCCTACAATCGAAGGATCACCCTTAGTATAATAATCGAGGTATAATTATTAGGTGCATCACATGCCAACAAACCAACAAACTATTCCCTTGGTTGATGGAACCAACCAAAAGAAAAGTGGCTCAAGGATCACGCTTTGAATCTCAACTCCTGGAGTTGTAAGTTTTATTTAATTTTCAATTGACATATTTTTTACTTTTTATTTCTAAACCAATCTATTCCCTCGATTGAGGGAACCAACTGATAGGAAGTGGCTCAAGGCTACACCTTTTGCATTTTTACTTATATTTTTCTTCATTTAACGCTTTTTTTCCCTCTTAATTTATCTACTCCATCGGTTGAAAGTTCCAACCGAGAGGAAATCTCAGCTTTATATTTCAAATGACGTTTTGTTTAATATATCTATGACCTCAATTGGGATTTTCATCCCAAAGGAAATCTCATATTTGTATTTCATATGACGCCTTTCTCTTTTTTTGAATGATTTATTCGCTCGAATGGTTATCCAACTGAGAGGATATATCTTTTCTAGGTATTTTTCATGATTTCATTTACTTTTTGTATTAATATATCCTAAAGGGGGCCCATAATGGGCGATGCAGATATAATGGACCTGAGTTGAGTCCATATTGCCTTTTCGGTTGTCCATTTTCTAGTTCGAGCCTCCGTTTAATCGATATGTCACCTTTTCTATTGAACATGTCACCTCCTATTAGGAATGGTCACCCAATATGATGAAGTGTGGAAATTATGTGCCCACACTCATTAATTATAAATAAGGGGTCATTTGACCATGTTCCCGAAAATAGTGATGGGTAACACCCCCCTTGCATCTTCTTAGTAGTAGTTGTTATTCCCAATTGACCTAGGATTCAGGCCCAAGACTACTATAAATATCTCAACGATGGAGTTGAGAGGGACAATCTAATTCTCTCATAGAAAACTACATACACAAAGCTTCCCGCCCCTACGTGATCTAGTTCCCAACCCCACAATATGTCTTAAAACCTCTGACAGCCCTTAATCACTAGGGATTGTCACGTATTATACTTTTAGAAATTAGAATTATCGTCCACTGTGGGGTCCGGTAAAACTAACAGGGGTCACACTCATCGTTACTATCATAGCTTTAACCATCTTCTCACGAGGATTATTAAGCAACACTCCAATATCACATCAACACCATTGCCAAAGGTTTTACCAATGGAGGAGAATCTAGTTCCTCTCGAAGAAAATACGCCAGTCAATTTTTTACCGGAAACATCATACATGCCAACTTTTCTAGGATTGTTATAAAAAAAAAGAATATGTGTGTCATTTTTGTTTTGGTATAAACAATGTGTTTTGGTACATAATGTATATATAGTTTAGTTTCACAAATGTACCATTTCGTTCTATTACATAAAATGTGTGTTATAAGTTATTTTTAAAAAAATACAGGTTAAAAATAAATTATGTTAAATTAAAAAAAAACTATATTTAAAAATTTAAAAAGGGATTTCCCCTTGGTTTGAACTCCCAACCAAGGTAAAACCTCTTTCCCTAAATAGAATATTAAACTATCACCTTGGGTATTAAAACTAACTGAGAGTAAAAATGGGGTTTTCCCCCTATGTTAACATATCCAACCGAGGGGAAAAGTAATGTGCTTTCATTTTTTTACCTCAGAAAAATGGCCTGAAGGGAAAAGTAGCGTACATTCATTTAAACCATATGTTATCTCTCCCACCCGACTAAGGTAAAATTACTATTTCAACCAAGGTAAAAGCCCATTTTCTTGGTAGTTCTTTTCCACTACTAAACATGATACCGTGCCCTATTGTACCCTTCAAGTACCTAAAAAATCCATTTGACTTATTCCCAATGATGCTTTCCTGGTTTGGACATAAACTTACAAACTTGACTTATAGCTTGTTCCAAATCCGGTATAGTGCAGACCATAAGATACATTAAACAACCAATAGGAATGACATAAGAAACTTTAGGCATATGCTCAGCTTTTGCATTCGTCTTTGGATACTGATCCAATGAGAGCTTAATTTAATTTGCCAATGAAGTATTAATAACCTTCAAATTACTCATGTCAAACTTGTCTATCACCTTTTCAACATAGTTTTTTTTAGAGAGCCATAAGTTTCTAGAACTCATATCCCTTTGAATCTCCATACTAAGATTCTTCTTTGCAACAACCAAATATTTCATGTCAAATTTCTTTTCCAACATTATTTTCATTTTATTTACATAATTTAAATTATTAGTAGAAACCAACATATCATCAACAAAGCTCCTAACATACACACAAGAGTCATACTCACATAGTGCGTAGCCAATCTAAAGCATCTATGAATCAAAGCGCTTGTACCATTGCCTTGGAGATCGCTTTAAGCCATACAAATACATCTTTAATTTATAAATTAGTCGACCATATCCAGTGTCACTAAACCCTTCTAGTTACACCAGGTAAATTTTCTCATCTAGACTATCAAGAAGAAATAATGTATTCACATTCATCTTCTCTAAAGGCATGTCTTGGCTAGAAACCAAGGTTAACACGAACCTAATTGAATTAAATATGATGAACAAAGAGAAAATATCATCATAGTCAATCC